CTGAGTGCAGTGCGGGCGCAACACCGAGGGTTGCGATCCCGTTGCCGGTCCCCGGTACGGGCGCGACACCGAGGGTTGCGATCCCGTTGCCGGTCCCCAGTGCGGGCGCAACACCGAGAGTTGCGATCCCGTTACCGGTCAGTAAAAAAGACAAAAAAAAAAAAAAGGAAGAAGTGAGTAATGGATTGTTGTTACCACAGGTATGGGTTAGTTATTGCAGGCGTGGGCTCCTGATGAAAGGATGAGTTCAGTCTCCTTTTTTTCTCCTTTTGCTCTCACCCTCTCTCACCGGGTGATGCCATTTGCCATGTTATTACACAGCAAAGAAGGCCCTCACCAGATGTGGCCCGTTGATCTTGGACTTCCCAGCCTCCAGACCCATAAGCCAAATAAATCTCTGTCTTTATAAATTACCCAGTCTCAGCTATTCTGTGATAGTAGCAGAAAACGGACTAAGACATGTGCCCTTCTGGATCAGACTGTATAGGAAATTCCCCACTAGCCCTCTCACCAAAAGCTTCTCAATTCCAATGTCATACTACAGGAAAATCAGCTACAGAACATGAGGGCAAATTTTAAAAAGAGGCAAACAATTAGGAAAATTGGTTTTCTAGGTATACAAGAGATATAAAAACAACTTCTGGTTAGCAACAAAGAGAATTAAACTGATAGATATACATGTTTTACCGTGGAAACAACAACAAAAATGATGAAGAAAAGAGTAGACAGGTATGATGGAGTGATAACATCCAAAACAAAGGATTTGGATGTGATTGTCAAAGTCAAAATCCCTAGTGGAGGGATGAGAGTCAATAAGGTGGTAGTTTTACCTGACAACATCCATTGATCTTGCTCCAGATTTAAAGAAGTCTGTGGAGTCTTCAATAACAGGGATGTTGCTTAAAATTCCAGCCCAGATGACCTACCCAAAAAGGGACACTTTTAGGAGGGAAGCCCCATGAAGGACAATGTGGCAGAGACTGGCTAGCTCTCCACCAAAGCTATTTCCTCTTCATCGTGTATACACAGCTTGACCACATTTCTCAGAATCTCTTCGAGTTAGATGCAGCCAGTGAATATGAGTGGAAGTGACCTGCAACTGCTCCAGTCTTGGCCCATGAAAAACCTTCTCCATACAATTCTCTCTGCTCTTTTGCCCTTCTGGCTGTCTGGAATAGACTTGACCTCCAGGATGACCTTGAAGATAGTATAGCCCGGATCCCTGAATAACCCCACCCCTAAGCCCCGTGCCCCAGTTTCACCCCTAGCCCCCAGTGCCAACCTAGAACTGCTTTGGATTACTTATGTGAGAAATAAATCTGTATATACTATGCTCGAGCACATACATTTTGGGGTTGATTTCCTGTTGTGCAGCTAATATAAAAAAGAGGAAATAAAGTTCTAACTCTACCCCTTTGAAGACTGATAGTACCAGTTATAAATATGCTTCAGTCTTCCAAGGTAACAGCAATATTAAGGACATCGTATGTTCACCTTGATGGTCTCTGCCACCTTCAACTCTTCAGCTGTAAGCTCCACCACTGATGTCTCACCCCCTGAAAAGTACTGAGAGGCAGGAATCATTTTTCCATCTTCAAACTGCAGATTTCTCACCATCACCTACAAAATAGCAACAAAACAAAAATAAAAATTGAGGATTAGGATAATTCAAAGGTAAGACTGGTGGGAGGAGGAGTCCTGCATATTACATACACAGAACGACCAGCTTATTTGGAAAATACAACAATATGGATTAAAAGCACTCACTATTATGTTTAAAGGACCGAAGTGGCATTTTAATAATGGCAGCAGAAAGGAGAAAGTTAAGACTAGAGGTAGATACATCACAAAATGAATAATAAGCTCTGGAAAAATCGACATTTGGATGTAGGCATTCAGACTAAAACCTATTATAACAGCAGGCACTATGACTACCACTATGACCCTGCTGCTGCCGTCTTCTGAGCACTTACCCTGTGCCACACACAGTGTGAGGTATATATGTATGTACTGAAGCATCATTTAATCATATAAATACAGATGGAGGCAGATGCCAGTATTAGTCCCATTTTACTGATGCAGAAATGGAGGCTCAGTGAGGTTAAGTGTCTTGCCCAGTGCCACACAGATAGTAAGTAACAAAGCTGGAATTAGAACCCAGAACTAGCTGGGCTTGCAACTGATTTATCCTGCAGTGACTGGAAAATATCTGCAAGTACAAATTTCCTCTTAGTCTTCATTGGGAAGCTGTCCAGAGGGCACGGAGGCCCAGAGCCAGCCCTCCCCAGCACAGGCAGTAGAGGGGTGCTTGCCTGGTGAGAAAATGGAAGAGGGCCACATCAATCTCCCTTGGTCCTCCCAGGCTCTGGCAGTGGGAAGGCAGACAGACGGGATTCCCCTCTCTGTTCTATAGATGGGGAAACTGCGACTTGTGGGGAGAACCATCCTTCCAGCACGGAGGCCCAGAGCCAGCCCTCCCCAGCACAGGCAGTAGAGGGGTGCTTGCCTGGTGAGGAAATGGAAGAGGGCCACATCGATCTCCCTTGGTCCTCCCAGGCTCTGGCAGTGGGAAGGCAGACAGACGGGATTCCCCTCTCTGTTCTATAGATGGGGAAACCGCGACTTGTGGGGAGAACCATCCTTCCAAAGACAAGTGCGTGGCAGAGCAGGGATCCACATCCTTGAAGCCTGATCAAATTCTAAGCTCTTTCTACTGTATCACAAAGCAGACTGTGCAGGCCTCTGGGGTCCGTCCTGACGAGTCTTGTTCTATCAGGGCACCTGGAGCCCACTCATCCCCAGAGAGAAATGGGGGCACAGATATCCTGGGCCTCCCACATCCCGTGTGAAAGCTATTCCCTTAATAGCTTGGGTTATAGAAGGAAACCAAAAAAGTTATTTCATAGGTGACCATACTGAACACTTACGGCTTTTCCATCATTACCAAAAACAACAAGTCCATTTTTGGTAACAAGACCCGGCTTCTTAGCACCTTTAATTTCCAGTGGTTCTCCAGGAGGCACAGAGCTATTCAGTAATGATGAGCCATAGAACGTGACCATCTAATAAAGAGACCAAACCCAGAGCGTAAGATCAGGAGGTGAAGCTGTTCATAGCTGTGTGTGCAAGCATTACTCCCTGAATCATCATCTGTAATAAAGTTGAGATACCATCATGTGAAAGACTGTATCAAGCATCTGTAGAAATGACACAAAGTAAGAGACATTCTGCAAATGTGTGATTGAAGAGTTTCAATAATACCCCACATCCAGGTGACAGGAGTATACATTTATCATATATTCCCACTGATACAAAGGCGAATGAGATATAAAGCTCTCAGCCTCTACAGCCTGAAAGTAGGGTTTGTGAGGGCCGTGGAGGTATTGGGGGTGGGGGGGTAGGTGAGGGGAGATGCACAGTAGTAAATACGCCATAACGATGCAGTGTGGTAAGTGATGAGAAGTGCAAGGTGCTTTGTGGGTCAGTTCTTGGACACAAGACTAGATCGAGACTGTAACTACGAGAAATCGACACTCATTGACCTATCATTATAATTCCATGACTATTAGCTGTCATTTATTGAGCACTGAAATAGTTAACATTTGTTGAATACAGTACTTACTCTACGCTAGGGACCAAGTGATTAAATGAATTAACACGTATTAACTCATTTAATCTTCACAATAACCCATAACCTATAAGGGAGGCGGCACCATTAGTCCCATTTTACAATGAAGAAACCAAGGTACGCAATGGTTAAGTAATCTGCCCAAGGTCACACAGCAGCTAGTGGGAGAGCCAGGGTTGTAATCGAAACATTCTGGCTTCAGATCCCACACTCTTCACCACTACACTGAACTTCCTCCATTGGTCATTCATCTGTCCCACACACAAGTATTTTTATTGTCACCTAATATACACCAGGAAACCTGCTTAAGTGCATCAAGACAATAACATGAAGCTCTTACTCTGAAGGAGTTCATAGTCTATTGTGGACAGGGGGATTGGTAAATAAAACGACCCTTACAATACCTGATGTGCTATGTTAGAGGTAGGCAAAGTGTTGTTGGAACAGAGGGAAGGGACACCAGACCCCCACAGGCTGGGCATGTGAGAGGTCAGAAAACTTCCTAGAAGAGGTAAAACCTGAGAACCTGAGCTGAGCCCAGATTCCCCATGAGTGAGAAGGCCCTTCATGCCCTGCCCCTGCCCACCTCTCCTGCCTCATCTCTCTCCACGCCCCTCCTCACACCCCAGACCCCAGCTTTATTGCAAGTCCTTAACTAGGTGCTATACTCTCCTGTCTCTGGGGCTTCACCTCTTTGTCTCTCTCTCCACCTGATTAACTCTTCTTGAAGTTCAAGCAAAGCAGTCAGCTTGTCTAGGAAGCCTTCCCTAATACACCTGAGTCTGGACCTCGGTTACAGCATTTATCTACTGCATATTGTGTCTACTCACTTCTCTGCTTTCTTCATAAAACCGCAGGCTCCTTGACAGCAGGGGCTGTGCCTACTGTCTGCTTCACAGTAAATGTCCACCGTATGCTGAATAAACAGGAAGGTGAATCACAGCCCCTCCATATGACCAAGGGAAGAACCAGGGGAAGCCTTGATTTATTTGCAATATCTCTTCCAAAAGAAATATGGTGGGGGACAAAAAAAGGTCCCTAGAACATACCTCTCCATTTATCTCTGCCCAAGCTCCAGGGACTTTATCATGACCTCGGATCCAGTTATGTAAAACTTCAGCAGACAGGTCCCAAGAAATCTAGGAAAGCACAAAGCACACATTGACCTTCTCAATGCTGTGAGTCTCCAAAGCAACAGAAACATTTGTCTCCATCAGTGGCACAAGTGGGTAGGGGTGAGGTAGGCTGGGTGGAAGAGCCACCTCTTGGTGAGGAAATGGTACATTGCGAACTACGTAAAGGTAGAGGGCCGGGAACTTTGAGAAGTGTTACTGCGTTGCTGTAAATACCTTGGCATTGTCTTTTTTCTGGATACCTTCATATGTTGCCCCTTCCTCTGGTTGGGGAATACGAGGAGCTTTTCCGTCGGCTATAAGTTGGACAGCTTCTACCTAAAGCCAAAAACGTCACCTGTGTTACAGCCCAACGACCAGCAATGTCATGGTCTGTTCAACTGAAGTTTCTGCTTAACAAGATTACTACATATAAATCTGTTCAGACATTCAGACTATGAAAATAACTACCACTTCTGCAGGTTTGCCTAAGTGCCAAGCAGTGTAGTAGCTTCTGTATGTGAAATATCCCTTGCAAACATGACACAAATCCTACAAGGTGGATCATATTATTCCTGTTTACAGATGAGAAAACTGTGGCTTAGAAAAGTGAAGCAACTAGCTTGAGATCACAGAGATAGCTGGTAGGTGTCAGAGGCGGGATTTGCATCCAGGTTGATTTACTGCTAATATCAAACCTGCCCTCTCAAAAATGACTCCCTTGTTTAAACACACTTCAACCTCTTCTTGGTGATTCAATGGAAATAATTCCATTCTATATTTCCAATTCAATGGAAATAGTTATAAAATAAGTCATGCCGGATTATTTTACTCATCATGATGATTCTAGAAAATGGTACATTATTGTATTTAATTGATTCAACTTGCTTTCTAGCTTAGGAAACCTGGAATTAAAAACTTAAAATCTATCCACGAGAGTGACTGCCTTTGAGATGTGTCCTGCATCTCTTCCTGTGATATTTATGTTTGCCTTGAGTTGAGAGCTTCTCCCTTTCCCTGGGAGGCCTTTGTGAGCTCAAGTTCTCAGATTTCTCTCCAGGGACTCACAGCTGCTGACTACTGGAGTTAGCCACCTGGGAACAGAACCAAGTTTACAGCTCATTCCACTCACCTCTATCTATAATACCTGTACTATAAGGTACAGGATTTGGGCTTGAGCAAGTACTACAGAACATACCATATGTTATTTTGACAATAGTGATTATTTTTAGCATCTACTGTGTGCCAGATGCTTTACACAAATAATGACATTTAGTTTGCACAACAACCCTACAAGTCAGGCAGTATTATCCACATTTTATAGATAGAGAACTAAGGCTAAAGGGCTAAGTGACTTGCCTATTGTCATACAAAAAATAAGTGGTAGAATGAGAACCTGAGCTTAGGTCTTTCTGACACCAAAGCCTTACTCTGTTAATCATTACGTGATATAAACAAGGCACTGTTCTCCTCCGGCATAAATCAATGGTTACAAGCATACCTAGTTTTTATCTAATTTTGCTACTTCTACCATAACAAACTCTGGAAAGAAAGTTAAATGATATCAAAATTACCTACTGAATTTTTCAATATTTTTACACAATAATGTTGTTACTTTGTGGCATACGTGCTTTAGGCTTTTTACCAAGGGCTCATCTGAATGAATAAGCAACACCAAATTTCACCCTGTTACACAGACTAATTTAAAACACTTTCAAAGAAAGTACAAATTACATAGCAAAATTTTTAAAGATTCTGTACACTTCTTTACAATTATTCATTACAGACAGGGTTGGAGATTTAAGTATTTGGCAAAGGAAATGGAGCAGGTTAATTGCTACCTCATTGATTTGATCACTGCTCTCAGAAAAGTAAGTCAGGTTCACAGACTAAGTATTTTAATGTTCAGATTTCCACCCTAAATATACCATCCCATTGGTAAATATAAAATCTAATTTTGTTTTTAAGCTTTATATTTTTAGCGAAAATTCATATGGGCAAATTCTCAATAAAAGAAAATATTTCCAAAATGTTAAGGATTTACTAAATTATTCTTGATGGCATAAATATACTGACCATGGCCTTGATTCCTTCAGGAAAAAGAAATCGATTATAAAGTGCATCCACCGTATCATTGGGTTCAACATCACAGGATCTCTGAAGAAGGATGGGTCCTGTATCTAAACCATCATCAGCCCAGAAAACAGACAACCCAGCTTTCTTGTCTCCCATAATTAGAGTCCTGTGAAGAGACGGGTTCAACTTAAAATGCTGGTGAACTGTATCATAAAGTGATGAATTAGTGATATTAACGTACAAGGTAATTACAATGGAAAAGTAGACAGTGAATGAAGCTACCGTGAGAAATCAACAGTAGAGCTGGGAGATGTGAGAGCTCAGAAAAAGCAACGCCTAATGGTCCTGCTAAATACATCCTCGTGTCTGTAGTCTTTCTTGTTAACATGTAGTCATGACTTGTAGTGAATTCAGACGGGCGTTAGAACCCACCGCTGTCACTCATTGACTCCCAGGTATCAGTGCTCTACCTCAGGATCAAGTAATTTGCCCACCTGACTCCGATTCCTACATCATACTTGACCCTGTACTAGGCAGAATAAGAATGTGACATAAAACAGAGGATATTCTCTGCAACGTGAAGAGGAGATCTGGTTATTAATTCAGGCATAAGATTCATTTAGGATTAGAATTAACTCTAGATTGTCTACATAAATTGTAGTAAAAGACGGTTGTTTAATTCAACTATGTGTATTTTGTGCTCTGTAAAGCTCAGCCTAAGAGAAAATGCTGCCCCCCACAGGAGCTTATAATGAAGACAATAAGCTACATATGTTAACAAATACATATAAAAGCACACAGAGACCAGGCTAAAACAGAGAGTATGAAGTGGTAGGTTACCCATGCCCATGACCTAAGTCATTTTTACTTCTCTGGGCTAATCACACAAACCTAAATCAATCACTCACTCACTGTTTTCAGAAATATTGAGGAATGAATTGACATTATGTTATCAAGAACCTTGAAAATACCCATATGCTTTTATTCTGCATGTGGAAACAATGTGAAATGAGAAAAAATACAAGTTTAAGTGCAAAGATATCCACTAAATAATAATAAAGTATTATTTACAAGAGCAAACAAGAAATCAGTGTAATCAAACTTTAAATACAATGAGTATTATTCACTACATTAAACCAGGTGTAGACTTTCTGCCTATTCAATAACGTCACACTGAGGGATATCAGGAAGTTGTGCAGGTAAAGGAGAGAAGGTAGAAAAGGCCTCCTCAACCCACTCGTGTGTACCTACGGCATCAGGTACCTACAGTGTATCACGTACTGTTCTTGACACTGGTGAAACAGCAGTAAAAATATTAAAGTCCTTTCCCTCAAGAAGTTTGAAGTCAAATGGAGGAAGACAGACAATGAGGAAAATAATTTCAAGTAATTCAGCATTTCCTGAAATGTATTTAAGATGCTCTATGCACAAAAGTTCTGTGGTCAAATAAGTTTTTGGGAACATGAGTACTCAAATTCCCTCTAGGAGGTTATGATACGCACTTTAAAGCACATATTAAAAGCTCAAAGAAGTCCTGCGATAAATCTAGCATGAACAAAACTTATCTGACCATACAGCCTTTGTTTTCTCACTATCTAGTTACATTCAGTGGAACTAGTACTCCACAGACTATTCTTGGGAAATTCTGTCCTGGTTCACGCGGTATTCTAGGTCTCAGGGGAGTTCATGCAATAGCAGCAATCAATCAGGACCTGACAGTTGTTCAAGCATACCTCGTTTCTTGATCACCTAGGTAAAAAACAGAAAGACTATGGGCAATGGAAACAGACCCAACCTCTCTGTTATTAAAAAATCTCACCAGTTGATAGCAGAGGCTCCTCTGTGCCTGGGCAGGATGGAGGGGTGATAAATGATGGAACCATGCTTTGGGCTATCGATTACATCCATGGGGATGAACTGTGTACAGAAGGGAAGCACGTTTAGCTCGGCACCCACGGATCTGTAGGCTTCTGACACCTCTTTGATGGTCTTGCCCTTGACTCTCCATCTAGGGAACTTGAACACAGGGGTCCCATCTTTCTCCGCAGCCAAAGCTGAGCATGAAAAAGATTACTTTCATTTTTTAAAAAGCCATAATTTTATATTGGTATCAATTATGATTTTACACTTTCATGAAACATTTACAAATAAAACATAGTGAAAAACAATCTAGACTGTGACTAGAATTTGACCTATTATAGTTGTTTTATGTTCCGTCCATTTTTCTAATGTGATGTTTATTTATATATTTAAGGCATAACACATTTGAATTAGAAGTTTGTAGTTAGATAGTATTTTGAGATTTTAACCAAAGCTTTTTCTCTTTTAGCACAACCTTTTAAAGAACATAGCTTTAGCTTTGGAGCCAAGTGGCAATACTTCACCCACCAATTTAACATAGTCTCTGGCACAGCTGAAAACCTTTAGTCTCTCCCCTCCCCACACAGAACAAACTGTACACCAGAACACAATCTCTCTGCCAAACAGGCAGATCCCCAAAACTGAAGGGTTAAAGATTCTGAGCTTTTATAGTTCTTTCTCCCACCCAAATTCACCAAACAGATAAGTTAGTGGAGGAGAGAGGCCCTAAGAATGGAGAATACACACTTAGCTCCCTGTAAGGGTTTTGCCATGCTGGAACAGATCCAGGTCTCCTTCCTGAGGTCCCCTTCCCCTCAAAATGACTCCACCCTATCTTCATGTGAAAATTGAGTGGCCCTTCAAAGTGCAAGTAGCATAAGCCCATTTTCTCCATAATAAAATGTCATTTTTACTAACTACATACCTTCTATCTTAAGTATATATATTTAAGTATATATATTTATATATACTATTAAATATTAAAATAGCATATGAATATATTTTATATAAAACATATATACTATTATATATTAGTAATATATAATATTAGTAATATATTAGTGAACATATATGCTATTATATATTAGTAGTATATATAATAGTATATGTAGTAGATAGAATTGTGTCCCCCCAAAATTCCCTGAAGCTTGAATTGTGTCCCCCAAGTTTTATGTATTGGAAACTTAGCCCCCACTGTGACTGTTAAGAGGGTGGGAAATCCTATGATGGTAACTAAAAGGTGGGGCCTAGAAGATGTGATTGGATTGTAGGACTGTGCCACAGTGAATGGATTAAAAATGGTGGCCAGGGGCGTGGTTCTGAGGACTTTAAAAGAAGAGGAAAGTCTGTCTCTCTCTCTCTCTCTGCTCCCACCATCTTGCAATGTGAGACCCCTGGGATATTGTTGGCACCACCAGATGGACTTTGGACTTCCCAGCCTCAGAAACTGTAAGCAATAAATGTTTTTCTTTATAAATCACCCAGTTTCAGGTATTCTGTTATAGCAACACAAACAGACTAATGCAGTATATATTATACATTATTATAGTAGTATATATTATACAATAGTGGTATGTATATAATAGTATAAATATTAATTTTAGGCAATTTCCAGAAGGCTTAACTAAAGCTTTTTACTTGCATTTTTTGTTCTTTTTCCTTTCTTCTCTATTTGATCATCAAAATTCATTGACTCAGGATGAGATGATGCCTCTACCACAAAACCTAAATTCTGAAGCCTAAGTAAGTCCTGAAGGACTCTGGCCATCAAGGTTAGGCCCTGATCAATCCATTTGGAAGAATTTGTTCACAAAATACAATAATGTTCACAAAATATGAATGTTCATAAAATGTCCAAAAAACTTAACTCACATATCAGATGACAGGAAAATGGATAAATGTTAAAAAATGTGATATTGGGAGAAAACTGTGAAAGGTTACATGTGAAAGAAAAATGAGGTGGAGGGGACTTAGAAGTCTTCATTGTAAAAAATGTACTGCACTAGGACAGGCTTGGAGCGTTCAGGTGTCATCTCCTGTTTTGGTTTTTGGCTTCCTGGAGCTATTTTTGGCTGCCCTGGTTGACAACAAGAATAGTCAGGTGCTGTCATTCTCGGGTGCTTATTATGCACTAGGTGCAGTGCTGAGCACTTCGCATACATTATCTCATTTAATCCTCACAGCAGCCTGTAAGACGGGTCCCACTGAACTGAGGCTTAGTGAGAAGAAGTAGCTTGCCCGAGGTCACACGGCTAGTAAATGGCAGAGTAAGAATTAATCCCCTGACTCCACAACATATGCTGTTAACCACATGCTGTAACACCTCCCAGGTTACTCTATAAGTCAGGTTGGTATTTTTTCTTTTTCTGAGTTCTGTCATCAGCCAAATGGCCATGACAAACGGAAAGGGGGTCCTGGCCCTGGGACCAGGCACTAAGGAAGAGTTCATTTCCCAGGATTCATTCTGAAAGGAGGTCTAAAAGTCACATGCTTGCAGTTCTTCTGAAGTCCATGTGCATGGCCAAGACTACGAGTTGTATCCCTTCATCCCTTAGCAATGGGCTCCCTAGTTTAACTGAATGCACAGCCACCTCAGATAAACTCTGTATTTCTCAGCTTCTCATGCAAATAGAGTTGTTCTGTGACCAAGTTGTGGCCAACACTATGTGAGCGTTGGGCAATATGTGCAACTTCGGATTACGCCCTTAATAAAGGCTTGCTCCCCACTTCTTCTCTTTCCCTTCCTGCCTACTGGAACGCAGATGTCATAGTTGGGGCTGAGGCAGCTACCATGGACCATGAGATGGAAGTACTGATAATGGCAAAGCAACAGATAGAAGGAACATGCATTGTAATGAATGTAGAGCTGCCACACCAGTTCTGAGGACCAGCCCGGACTTGAGAGTTCTTGGCCCAGTCATCCCGGTGTGCACTCACCCAGCGGATCGGCTTTTCCGTCCTTGTCTGGAATAGTGAACACTCCTACTACTCGGTGGCCCTCTTTGCGGAGGTGGCTGTAAACTTCCTGTCCAAAGAGGCTCTGGCCTATAAGTGCCAGCTTCAGCTTGTTTTTGAAACAAACCTGTGAAACAATTCAGTGATGACAGATGTACACATAGATAGAAGACATCGGATAATAAACATTTTTTTCAGTCATAGAAGATGACTCAAGGCTACAAAAGGCTCAAAGATCTACAAAATAAATTTTTTATTGACATACACTGAACCCAGACTATATTATATATATGTAGCAGCAAAAATAATTTCATATCTCAGTATTGTTCATTTTCTCTTTGCTCTAATTCCCTTGATTATTCATTTTAATCACTGGGATTACATATATTTTTATAAGCTACCTCAACTCTTTGGTGAAATGAGGCCATATATAAACAAATAAGGTGTCCTTGTTAAAAGGAACTTAACTCTGAGCAAAATCTACCTCAACATGACCATACTTTTATGCCCCTGCAATACAGAAATAAGAACTGGACTCATCTCTTACTTCCCAAAGAGGCCAAGATCTAAAACACAGGGGCAAAGGCACAGACCCTAGAGCTAGGCTACCTGAGGTCGAAACTTGTGCCACCACCTGTGCCAGTTGTGTGGACTTAAGCAAGTAACTAACTTCTCTTTTATTTTATTTTATTTTATTTTTATTTTTTGTTAACTAACTCCTCTTTGTCTTTTCTCCCCCCTCATCTATAAAATGGGAATAATAATAATACCAACTTCATACAATTTTGATGGAAGAAAATGACTTCACATGCAACAGGCTTAGCACAGTGTGTGACACAGAATTAGTATTGTTTAAGCAGAAGCTTTCATAATTTTTTAAAGACCTTGCTATATACTAGACTGTTCAATGTTTTTGTAGATAGTCAGAATTCAAAAATTCTTAAGTGGAACAAATTTATTTGACCTCAAGACCTGGCTTTATCTAATGTAGTGAATGCTCTTTATAGTCCTTATAGATTTCTTGTAAGTTTGGCACAAACTCATTTGGCTTTAAATCTGACCTGAACTGACATAATGCTATTTATAGCCTTTATTTATATTTGTATAGACTATATGAATATTCGTATGTTTGCTGCAGAAAAACCAATGTGTTTGGTTACAGGTACTGCCCTAAAGCCTGCTGGGAATTTTATGTAATATACTATCTATACACCATATGAACTTTCTAAAATAAGAATAATTCTTAACTCTAAAAACACACTTGGCCCCAAAGTTTTCAGGTAAGGGACTGAGGGGGGCACATCATTTCATTTCATTTAATCCTCATACCTATGCTGTTTTGCTATCTTCCATTTTGTACCATTTTCATGGATGAAGAAACCAAGCCTTAGAAATGTCAAGTATATTCCCAACGGTCATAGAAAGGGAGAGAGCTTTTCTATGACCTTTTCCTTTCCCGTTAGAAAGGGAGAGCCTGGGATTTGAATCCAGGTCTGTCTGACTTCAAAGCCCTTAAGCACATATGCACTTAAAAATGAAGTATTTAAAATGAACTATTACTATTCATCTCTTCCATCTTATTTACAGGTTAACATGGACACACAAAAATACAGTGATCATTAAGAAATATAAACACCATGTAGTAGATAAGAGTGGCATTGAAGGGGTTACAGTTTTAAGGAATGTCTTTGAGCAATTACATCTTCTGTGAATTCTCCTAAAGTGGAGCCTTTTCACAATGCATAACATCATACACTGACATGATCATTGTTGGGATGATGATAAAAGGCCATCAGGTGAAGAAGGCTAGCTGCAGGAGTGTAATCAGAGCATCATACTTTCTATGTGTTTCTTTTCTTGGCAATGGACCAACCCCAGCTCCCCAGAACTGTCTCCACCTTACATTCTTCCATGTTAGAATATGGTGTCATAGGATTTGAATTTAGAATGTATTTCCCCCCTCCAAACTAAATGAGATTCTCTAACGTCCTGGACAGTCATCCTAAATTAGTAAAGCCTCACTGTGAAAATCTGATTATGAAGAAACTTAACTTTCCCTTACTTCCTATTTTACTAAGGTCATAGACAATATCCCTTTTTAGGCATGAACTTAAAAAGATACCAGAACACAACTTCCCTGTAATCGAGCTGATAATTAAACAGTTAAGGCTTTAGTTTATAAAATCCTTTTTAAAAAGGTCAGTCAAGGTTTCTATCCCAAAAGAGCCTGATTAAGCTTTAACGTCTAACATATGCTTTTACAAGCAAACAGATTAACTCTGTAACAACTGCAAATTCACCTATAGATAATGCATGGTTGATCATTTAATTTCCTCTCTTCAAAAAAATCAAAACGTTCAATAAATATTCTATCTTCAAATCCTATAATTAATGCTGTTGCTTGAAACAGAATCTACGTATTAGCCATCTTACAAAAATTCAGGCTTTACTTCATACTATTACCAATGCCAGATATTTTAAGACATCTAAAGTACTACTTTTTAAACACACAAGAGCCAAGAGACCAAGCTAACTCAAACGTAATGTGTTACTTAGCTGTCATCAGTTTATGTGGAGTTCAGTTCCAGATTCAATACTTTCTGGCAGCATTTAAAGAAACCATGTGAGTATCTTTGGAAATACTACATTCATTGAAACACTTTCTGAGCTGAATGCTAAAATTGAAGCTTTCTGAGAAATTTTCAGACTTTATGACTATAAATGTGTTTACAAAGAGTTAGCAGGATTCCAGACAACCGGACTGGGATATTTTATCTTGGTCTGATTTATCCAAGTGTGGCCTGAAGACTGACTGCCTGCGTGAGCAGAATCAACTGGGAGGATATGTTTAAAATGTGGATTCCTGGGCCCCACCCCAGATCTATTGATATAAAACCTCAGGTCCAAGAAGCTGCATTTTAACAAGCATTCTGGTGACACACAGACACACTAAAATCTGAGAATCACTGCTCTATGGAGAGTGCGTGTCAGCCCACAACAACAAGATTCTGACCTGAGTTTGGGAGTTTGGATCAGGAAGAAGGGATGGAAATAATAACAAACATTTTAATGAGACCCTAGTATGTGCCAGGTATTTCACATATACTACCTCATTTGACTGCCCAAGACTCTGGAGACAGGCATTGTTAACCCACATTTATAGATGAAGAAAGTGAAGCATAAAGAAGTTAAGATATAGCCTGGAGTCAAATAGCTACTAAGTGGCAGCCCCGAGATTCTAACTCTTGTTATCCCAGTGCCCATTGTTTTTCCATAACACCGTCTGTGCAATCTTCAGATGGGCCTTATTTTTCTTCCTCAATTAAAAACAGAATAGTAATGGTACCTATCTCTTAAGGTTGTTATAAGAACTCAGTGGGATGAAGTATATAATACACTAGTGCACTGCATGACAATAGTAAATACTTGATCAGTGTTCATTATAGTATTGTCATTATTATTATTATACCACGAGTAATACCTATGCAAATAAAAATGATGATAATGGATATCTCCTATTGTATGTACATGAGGTAGGCACTGCATTGAGCCCTTTTCATTAATTCAAAAAATATCTATCAAATGCTGATTATATGTCTTTAATCCTCACAGTGACCCATTTTACAAATGAGAAAATACAGGGCCCAGAGGAGTTAAATAACCTGTCCTAGGACAGAGCTGATAAGGGGCAGAGCAAGATTCAAACCCGGATCTGTTTTACTTCAGCGGATCTGTTTTACTATGGCTTTCCTGTGTTGAAGTCTCCTCCCATTCTTTTTTTTAAAAAGAACAATACGGCAACAGTTTGACAGGGCAATTGTAGGAAATAGTTCCATCAGCCTTTCTAAGGGGATACTCCGGTGGCACTGACATGGGAGACAGCAGCATTCACTAAGGCTCTCACTGTAGGTGTCTGTTGTGTTGGTGACAAAGAGGAAGGGATACAAAATGACACACAGCATTTCCAAACCTGGGTGGTAAGTGCTATTATCTTGGGGTTCTCTAGAGATATTCTACATCAGAAGAGCCTTTTGCAGGGAACAGAAATTTGCTTTTTAGACTATCGAATATTGCATTCCCAGGCTATCTACCTTCTGGTGGAATCTTCAGGAAGCAAGGTGATATGGACTGACTATGCTCCAAGAATTAAAAAAAAACAAACAGAAAACTTAAAGTCTTGGTGCTGAGTCTGCTCTGATCCAAAGTCCTTTTGTGAAGCTGATGCGTCCTTAATGGAACCATTAGAGCAGGGTGTTAAGGCCAAAGCTATGCACATTAGGAACTGTCAGAATTGGCAGTTTTACATGAAGGACCTTTACACAAAAGAACAAAAACAGTAATTTTTTCTGAGACAGTGAGATGCCTCACACTTAATGGAGAAGTAGGCACATAGTGCCCCAAACCTGCACCTGACTCTGCACATGATTCGTTTAACAAGCATGTTTGGAGCGTTTATGGCTCTCTGGGCATAGTACAGGATAAAGGTTGCACAACAGTGGCCCGCAGGGGAGTTCTGTTTGGCCCATAAAGCATTTTTAAAAGAAGTGTGTTGATATTTTTAGGAGGTTTCACATCAGGTGGCTGAATTTCTGACTTCTCTTTAAAAATCAGGTTTATCATGCCCACAAAAGCAACAGTCAGCTGAGCTGAGCAGCAGTGGCCCCCCTTTACCCTGGACATTGGTCTTTCACTCCATCCAATCCAAACCCCTCACCTGTCTTGCCTGTTTGGCCTATGTGGGCATTTCTCTTTGGGACCCCTACACTAAAGGTACAAAGAAATGGTCCCTGTCCTCAGGAATTCACCAAATAGTAGACAGGACCCACAAGTAAACACATTTTAGTAACACAGTCCTAGGATGGGAGACCACAGTGGAGTTCTTGAGACGTTCCAGGCTGAGGGAAGAAAATTTACAAATGAGTGAATGAGCGGGCAGTGTGTCCAGTACTGGGAGTCAGGGGATGGTGACAAATGACACCCTAAAGAGAGGAATTATGGAGGACCTTGTCTATGTCAAGTAATTTGGACCTTATTGTGAAGAAAATGAGATTCACTGAATGACTTTAAGAGGAAGAGTGCACAATCTAATTTCTATGATACCAGACAACTCAGGCAACTCTGTGGAGGCATAAAGTAGCTTGGGGTAGGCACACCTCTTGTGTTTGAAAATTGAACAGATAAAGATTGAAAATAAAAACTAACCTAACAGTCCACCTTCAGTATATTCTCAGTATGTTGTTTGGAATAGTGTAAAAGCCCACGCTACCTATTATAACAAACTCCCAAAGCTTATGCTACCTGTTATATATAACAAACTCCTATACTAATAGTCAGAAGCAACAAATTACACTTTACACAGAGGCAAATCTGTGCACGATTCAATCAAGGTTCAGGATACCACCAGAAATGACAAACTTGTGCAACTCGGTTTTCTTATTGCATCATTATAAAGAAGGTATTAACAAGGACTTTCTTGGATATCTGGACAACGTTTTTCTTTGTCCCAGAAAGGATGAAAGATTTTTAAAAGAAGGATGTCAATACAGAAGCCTATTAGCAGGTGATGCCAGAATGGGGATGCCCAGCACCTGGAGGCTAGAGGGAGCTCCTGGGGTGAGGCTGGTGACCAGGGAACATTTTAAAGACTTTGAGTAAAGACAGTCCAAAGGACTAGAGCCCAGAGACTGACTCCAGTCCCTGTCAGAGAGGCAGAACTTTAGTGCTGATGGAGTTTAGATGTGTTGTCCCCTCCAAAACTCATGTGGAAATTTGATCTCCAATGTGGCAGTGTTGGAAATTGATTGAATCATGGGGGCAGATCCCTCATGACTGGATTAATGTTCTCCCTGGGGGAGGAGGGATTAATGAGTGAGTTCTCGCTCTCTTAGTTCCCACGAGAGCTGATTGTTTAAAGGACCCTGGCACCTTCTCTCTCTCTCTTGCTTCCTCTCTCGCCAGGTGATCTGCTCATACCCACCAGCTGCCTGCCACTTTCTGCCATAAGTAGAAGCAGCCTGAGGCCCATGCCAGATGCAGCTGTCCCAGAATCGTTAAGCCAAATAAACCTCTTTTCCTTATAAATTACCCAGTCTCAGGTATTTCTGTTATAGCAACACAAAACGGACTAAAACAAGTACATAGCAATTACCTAAAATATTTTAATTGCACAGAACTTTTAAAAATTAATATTTAATTATACATGTAACATTATACAGTCTCCTTATTAAAAAAGAAAAGATCACAGATAAGACTGGAATCCCCTTTGACCTCCATTCCCAATCCAGATCCTTCCTCCCTCCCCAGAGGAAACTACTACTACTGTTCAGTTTGGTGCGCATCCTACAGATGTTTTCTAGGCATTTACATACATGGAAATATACATACAAAGTATTATTTTGTGTTTTTAAAAATAATACAAGGAAAATAATATTATGGGTAATGTTTCATTACTTTCCTTGTCAGTGCATAGAATTCATTCTTTACACTGCCTTACAGTATTCCATAGTGTAGCTATGTCTCAGTTTATTTGTTCACTTCCCTAGTGAGGAACATTTTGGCTTTTAATATGTGATTATTACAAATACTGTGGCAATGAACATCCTTGTACCTGCTTCCTGTGCCCATGTGGAAGTGTTTTTCTCAGTTAGATGCCTACAAGTAAAACTGCAGGATCATTTTTTTTTTAAAAAAGATGACCGGTAAGGGGATCTTAACCCTTGACTTGGTGTTGTCAGCACCACGCTCACCCAGTGAGCTAACTGGCCATCCCTACATGGGATCCGAACCCGTGGCCTTGGTGTTATCAGCACCACACTCTCCTGAGTGAGCCACAGGCCGGCCCTGCAGGATCATTTTTAAACTTAAATTTTAATGGATAGAATCAAATTGCTTCTAGAGTATTTAAGGAACTCTTTTCTCACAAAATCATTTTCTCACAAAATCATATTTTCAACACAAAATCACGATATTGTCAAACTATGATTTTGCCAACCTGATTAGTGAAAAATATCTTGTTCTAATTTGCATTTCCCTAATTACTAGTTTGATTGAGTGTCTTTTCGTATTTTACTGTCTATTTATATTTCCTTTTTGATGTATTGTCTTATTCAATGTATTATGTATTATTCTTTACCTAAAAAAACACAGGTTTAATAGTCTGTCCCACTAATCTCTGAACTCCTGAGACTATCTCTGAAAGCAGGGACTATTTCTTGTTTATTGTTTTATCCTTTTTGGCTACAAGACATTGGGAAAGTTACTTAACTTCTCTGGGTCTCAGTTTCCTTATCTGTAACATGGGCTAGACATGGTGCTCAGTACATAATAGATAAATATGGTTTGAAGTTGAATTTGGAGATCCTAGGAACAGACTAGATACCTGAGCAGGGGTCAGGCAATGAGGAAACAAGTTAAGAACCTGGCTGCTAGAACTTGGATATAAAGCAGGTTCTTGGTTCCAAGGAGCAGGGAAGGTCCTATGTCTTGAACTGGATCATAAGGTGACCTCAAGTCCTGGAGCTAGGCTACAAATCCAGACACTGGTAGAGGGAGGTAAGCAACAGAGTGCCAAGTAAATATGAGGGCTAAATAACCCTCACCATGGGAGAAAGTAAGAAGTAGTGAACAGGCAGGATATTGGAGGTGGGCAATAATTCTTCACAGATAAAGGCTTTTAAAGCAGATAGTTGTTCTAGCTAAAAAGACCCGACCATGTCACTAAGCTGAAATCATCAAGTATTTCTAAGTCCATTTCTTTGAGAGGTTGGAAGAATTAGCTCTATTAGGAAGTATTACAAACAAAATTTCCCTTTGGATTTTGCTAAGTTATGAAAGATTTTTTTTTTCCATTTGTCCTTCATTCTGCTTTAATACCAAAGTTAAAAACATTGGTTTTTCATTTTTTAAAGATGAAGGTATAATTTACATGCAGTAAAATACACCCTTTTTAGTGTACAGTTCTGTGAGTTTTGACAAACACAGTCACGTAACCACCACCACAATCAAGATATAAGACAGTTCCATCACCCCCCAAATGGCCCTTATGCCCATTTATAATCAATCCTACCTCCTGTCTCCAGCTCCGGACAACCACTTTTTTCTGTCCCTATAGCTTACCTTTTCCAAAATGTCAGATAAATGGAATAATTAAAAAAGATAATCTTTCGAGTCTGACTTCTTACACTTAGCGTACATATTTGAGTTCCATCCATATTTTGTGTATCAGTAGTTCATTTCTTCTCCCCAGTCTCTCAGCTAGAATTCCATTGTATGGATGACTATACCACGGTTTGTTTATCCTGTTACCAGCTGAGAACAATCAAGTTTTTTCCAGTTTTCGGAGATGAGATTACGAATAAAGCTTCCGTGAACAGTGGTAAACAGGTCTTTGTGTAAACATGAGGTTTCATTTCTCTCGGATAAATAGCTAGGAGTGTGACTGCTGAGTCATATGGTATGTATATGTTTAACTATATGAAAACTGCCAAACAGTTTTCCAAAAGGCTATACTATTTTATTTTCCCGCCAGCCATGTATCTGTTTGATTTTGAATAGTTTTTATACAACACTGTCCAAAGGATAGATCCCCATTTTCTATAGGGTAAAATATCACAAATCCTTCCCTCATCATTCAATGTCTTCCTTTTGGCCAAATCTGCCACTGCTTTCCCACTTGTTCTCCTGGGAACAGTCAGACCCTGAGCATGCCAGGTGCTTCTCCATCTTCGTGTTTTTGTTTATACCATTTGCCACCTGGGATGTCAACCTTTTATTACAGAAATCTAATGCAAACCCCAGTACCAAAATCTTTTCATTCTTCAAAACTCCCTTCTGCTCTCCAAAAAAGACAATTCAGTGGAAGGTGTTGTTGACAGAGGAGGCCAGCGAAACAGGTAGGTGCAAGCTCCTTGCTCTCTGTCCCATCCAGCACAGACCCCTGTGTGCCTTGTCGTGGGAGAAGCCAAGGAAGGACTCAAAGTCCTGCTTAGGAAAGTAGCAAAAGCCCTAGTACAGCAGGTCTCTCCCCACTTATTTTATAAAAGGTGAATACTCCCCAAATAACTAGAACTGATTATCAGGAGCAAAACGAATTCTCATTATTTGGGGTTGTCTGGGGGAAAAAGTTTTTCCATTTATTCAAGTTAGGGCCAGTTCTTGGTGCTCCTGAAGACTTCTCTCTGCCTCCAAGTTTTTAACATCTGGATACATACATATGTACATATGGCTTTGGCAGAGAACACAAATGGAAAAGCAAATTCTTTTATAACACAGCAAACATATACTTCCTACAAAAGAGATAATGCACATAGGATTTTTTTTCTTCCTTAAACAGCTTGGAGTCTACCTAGACGCAGAGAGGCATCTCTGCCACGGCACCGAAGTGCTAAAGGCAGTACCACATGAGACGTGTCCACTCACGTGTCATTTCGGGGGGAGCTGATGCAATTCTCAGCTGCAGGGCTAGGCCAGGGCTTGGTTCTTGCGTTACAGATTAATAATGTTCCAGCGTGGCTTCCTCTGCAGTGCATGGTAGTCCCACAAATCTTGAGGCCTGCAGCTCAGCTCAGGACTACTGCATCTGCAGGCACCAGCTCTGAGATCCGAATGGGCCCTAATGCCAGTCGGGAGCACTTACACCCTTCAGGCCTCCAAGGAGGACCCTGCTGACTTGAAACTATTCTCCTCCAGGAGACGGCCTCGGTCCTCTACAGCTCCATCTCTTGCCATGATTGAAATGAAAAACGAAAGGAAACAGACTCTGTCCCCATTCTCATGTGACTGTTCCCACCTTGTCATCCCACCCAGACCTAACATGGTCAAAAACTGCATCTGCAGCCCCTTTCCCTTAAGACAATGGCTTGCTTGCCAATTCCCATCCAGGACCCGCCTGGGGCCTTTTTCGGAAGTCTCCCAGTTTTAAATACGCTGTCTCGGCATTTAGCAAAGCCTAAGCATCGCTGCCAACCTTCGTCCTCACCGCCCGGCCCTCCCGCCCCGGGGTCTGCAAACCAGGACCAGGCGAGGGCCGGGACGCTCGTCCGGGCGGGACTCACCTGGCCGGTGGAGAAGCGCCGGAGCGCCTGGCTGCCCCGCCTCAGCATGCTGCGAAGGAGCTCGGGCGCGGCGGCGCGGCGGAGCGGGAGGCGGGCGCACCCCTCAGCCGGGACGCGGCCTGCAGCCTGCTCGCCCGGGACTGCCCGGCGCGCTGCCCGCGGCCTGGGCGAGCGGGGCCCCGCCCCTCAGCCGGCTCCGGCGGCCAATCCGGTGGGATGGGCTGGGCGCGCGCCGGCCTCTTGCAGCCACGCGGCCGGGAGCCAGAGTGCAGCGCTGGTGCCCAGCCCGGGGACCGCGCCTGGCGACTGCACACACCCTCCTGCAGTTCCAGCAGAGGCCCGGTTACTTACTAGCTGTGGGACTTCTACCAGTTACCCAGACCCTCTGAAGTACACAGGGATCTGCCTTCCTAGTGGTCAATCTGACACCCCAAGTCACGTCCATAACACCGTCCTGAGAAAGCAACTGGCTTGCCTGTGTCTAGTTACGAAAGATAAGGGGTGGGGACCCCTTCGCTATGTAGGGATCGTAGGATGATTCGATAAGAGACTGTGCATAAAGCAATTGGCAAAGGGTCTGGCAGAGCTGGTCCCCAATAGATAATCAGATAGACTCCCTTCTTCAGCTCTCTGGAAGAAATGTTCAGACGTGCTCTAGCTGAGCACTTGTCTCAAACGGAACTCCTTAGCCTGGCATTCAAGGCTGTTCACAATCTGGCATTTATTCTTATTTTTCGCTGCGGTTTGCACGTGTAATTCTGACTGACTACTTGCCGATTTCTTCCTGGAAAATACTGAGATTTTTTTCTGGAAGTAACAAAAGCATAGTTCCTTAGATAATTAGAACTTAAACCAGATGCAATTAGAGAGTGAAAAAAAAAAAAAAAAAAAAAAAACCCTGCCAATCTAGATATCTATACCCAGTAAAAATAGTCTTCAATAATGGAGGTGAAATAAAGTCATTTTTAGAAAGAAAAACTTGAGAGAATTGGTCATCAGCAGACACACAATAGAGGTAATATTAAAGAGCAGTATTCCCTGCATATTTCATTGACCTGCTTTCTTTTGTATATGTGAGCAGTGCTATTTCTTATGTGCTATACAGATATTTGAAGGTTAATTAGCAGTATAACTATAAATAGTAATGCTGCCAGTCTCCTTCAGAAAAAAAAACTTTATAAAATGTGGTTACATGTATTAGTTGTAAGTAGCAGGTCTTTATAAATATGTGACCATTTAGGTTTTTTGTTTTATGACATGGATTTGAAAAGAATATATATGAGGAATAGTATAATGTGATGGTTCAAAGCAGAGGGTTTGGAGTTGATAGCTTGCGGTTGGAATTGTAGCTCCAGCAATGTACTGTTAGCATAATTTCTCTGAGCTTAATTATTTTCCTCTGAAAAATGGGTATAATTTCTACTTACCGTGGCTGTCATGAGATTACACAGGTGCTGAGTAAATGGTAGCTATCATTACTAACCCTGTGTTTTTATGCAGAAAAAATATAAATAAAAAAATAAAGAGTATCCTTCCAGTAGGAGGAAAATTGCTCTCATGGAAGACTGGAATTGTAGGAAGACCAGCTAAAAAGGCAAACATATGAGCAAATTTAAGTGAACATTAACAATATGCATAATAATAACAATAAGATATCGTGAATTTATATATGTGTATATGAAAATATACAAAAATATATACAAACAACAATAGAAAATTGTTGGATAAATTTGGAGGGCTTAGAGAAATGGAATGTTCATTAAGCAGAAAGAAAATAATTCCAGGTGGAAGCTCAGAGATGAAGGAATGAAGAGCCACAGAAAGGCTAACAATGAGGGAAATTTTAAATTATTAACTGTATACTACAATAGTAATAATGTTTTATGTGGTTCAAAAATATATAGAATTAAAATACATAACAATAGCATATGATTTTCAGGGAGAGGGGATGGAGTTAAATATTCTAAAGTCGCAGCAAATAATAAAAGTACTAATGTGTGTTAGACTTTAATAAGTTAAGGATGCATATTATAATCTCTAGTACAATTATAAAAAGAACTGTAATAGAATGTGTAACTATCAAGTTCATAGAATGTATAACTATGAAGATAATAGAATGATTTAAAAAATCAATCCAAAGGAAATTGAGAAAGGGGAGAAAAAGGTGTTGGGGACCTGAAGCCCCACACCCCTTCTTGTGAGACCGCTCCTACGTGACAATCTGCTCAGATGGCCGTGCTTTACATGATAACTGCCTCGAAATCTGCTTATGCCAGAAAGTGATTGCTCCTGGCTATGCAAGTTAATTTGCAAGTGACCTTTTATCCTTCTCCAGAAACTGTTTAACCATAAACATTCTGGGCGACAACCTTTACTTTGAATGTCCTGTCTTTGTCTCTCCTCAAGATATTATCATATCTTTACATTCCAGACCCTTTGCAGCATGCCTGCTTTTTCCTATATAAGATGTAACCTAAGAATCAATAAACGAGACTTGATCAGAATACTGTCTTGTCTCCCATCTCTCGCATCTCTTGTTCCATCCCATTCCCATACCCCCCTCCAGGGTCTGCGTTGAATATCCCGCGGGTTGGGACAAAAGGAATATGGAATGGGTGGAAAAAATAGAAGAAAAATAGTAAGATGTTAGATTTAAGCCTAAATATACCAGTAATTACATTAAATGATGCTGTGGATTGAATGTCCCCCCCCCCAATTCATTGAAGCATATATTGTGTCACCCAAAGTTCCAGGTACTGGAAACTTGGCTTCCATTGTGACAGTGTTGAGAGAGTGGGAAATTCTTTTATGCTGATTGAAAGATGGGGCCTTGGGGAGGTGATTGGATTGTAAGTATCATGCCCTAGTCCATGGGCATGGTTCTGAAGGCTTTAAACAGACAGCACATGAAAGTCTTTCTCTCTCTTTGCTCTGCCATTTTCTGTCATGTGAGATCCCTGTGTTCCTGTAAAGCCACCACCAAAGAAGACCCTCACCAGATGTGTTCTCGGGACTTGGGACTTCCAGCCTCTGAAACTATAAGCAATAAATTTTGTTTTCTTTACAAATTGTCCAGTTCCAGGTATTTTGTTATAAGCAACAGATATGGATTAATACAGAAAATGGGTACCAGAGAAGTGGGGTGTTGCTTATAACAAATACTTGAAAATGTGGAAGTGGCTTTGGAACTGGGTATTGAAGAATGGCTAAAAAATTTGAGGGAGCAGGCCAGAAAAAGCCTCGCTGCTGGTATGAGTTTAGAAGACAAGAAAACCAGAGAAAGTTTGGAACTTCTTAGAGACAGGTTTAGTGGTGGTGATCAGAATGCTGATAGATATATAGACAGTAAAGGCCATTCTGAGAAGATCTCAGATGTAAATGAGAAGGGACTTATTGAAAACTGGGCAAAAATCACCCTTGCTATGAACTAGCAAGGAACTTGGCTGCATTCTGTTTATGCCCAAAAGTTTTATGGAATGTTCAACTTCAAGGTGCTGACCCAGGGTATTTGCAGAAGAAATTTCTAAGCAGCAAAGCATCAAGGATGGTGCACGGCTACTTGCAACAACCTATGCTAAGTTATGGCAGAAAAGGCATAAGGTAAAGGCAGAATTTATAATTCAAAAGAAAGCAGAGTGTAAAAGATTGGAAAGTTTTCAGCCTGAACACAAAAACGAGAGTGTAGCTCAGAGATCCTTTGCTAAGGAGATGAGTATAAAAGAAAGGGATTACCTAGAGAAAGGAAAAAAAGAACTTGAAGGCATTTCAGAGATCTTGGAGGCTGCATCTTCCATAACAGGCCCAGAGGCCTCGGGAGACAGAATGGTCTCAGGGAACATACATGATGTGCCCTCCATGGGCTTACTGTTCACCTCAGGAAACTGCTTCTAGCACCAGCACCTTGGCTGCTTTGGCTGCTCCAGCTGTGGTTAAATTGGCCCCAGGTGTGGCTGGACCTGCAGCTCTGGAAAATGCAAGCTGGAAGCCTTGGTGGCCTCTACATGGTGTTAAATCTGCAGGCTTGCAGAATGCTAAAGCTATGGAGGCTTAGGAGCCTCCACCTTGATTTCAAAGGATGTATGGAAAAGCCTGGGAGCCCAGGAAAAGATCTGTTGCAAGGGTGGATTCACGGCATATCATCTTTGCTGGAGTGGTGCCAAGAGGAAATGTGGGGTCAGAGTTGCAGCAGAAGAACCCCACTAAGGCCATGCCTGGGGGAGCCAGGGAAGCAGGACTGCCATTGACACCCCAGACTTGTGGAGTTACCAGAGTGGAACACCAGCCTGGCAGAGCTGAAGTGTAGCCTGAGACCAGGAAAGCCATAGGAGTGGAGCTGCCTGAGGACTTGGGGACCCTATCCCCTCACCAGTGTGCAGAGGACATTGAACCTGAAGTCAATGCACATGATTCGCCAGCTTTGAGATTTAATGCCTGCCCTGATGGGTTTCAGACTTCCTTAGAACCTATTACCCCTTTCTTTTGGCCTATTTTTCCCTATGCTTGTCCTACCATTGTATCTTGGCAGTAGATAACTTGTTTTGATTTCAGAGATGGGACTTTGAACTTTGGACTTTCGAGTTGAAACAAGTTAAGACTTTGGGGACAAAATGAATGTGTTTGTATGTGGAAAAGACATGAGTTTTGGTGTGTCAGGGACAGAAAGCCGTGGATTGAATGTCTCCCCCCCCAACTCATTGAAGTTTAAATTGTGTCCCCCAAAGTTCCAGGTATTGGAAACGTGGCTTCCACTGTGACAGTGTTGAGAGTGGCAAATCCTATTGTGATGACTGAAAGGTGGGTCCTTGAGGTGACTGGATTGTAGTGCCATGCCCTAGTTCATGCACATGGTTCTGAGGGCTTTAAAAGGAGAGCACATGAGAGTCTCTCTCTCTCTGCTCTGCCATTTTCTGCCATGTGAGACCCCTGAACTGCTGTGAAGCTACCACCAAAGAAGACCCTCACCAGATGTGTTCCCTGGACTTTGGACTTCCAAGACTGAAACTGTAGGCAATAAATTTTGTTTTTTTAATAAATGACCCAGTTCCAGGTATTTTG